GATGTTTTTCAAATATGCTCCCATTTTTCTGACGTAAGCCTTTTTTCCCTCTTTCAAAAGCCATCTTCCTCAAATCTGAGCTCAGATGTCCTGATCTTCATGCTGCCTTTCTTGACATCTGCAATTAAGTGTGACTGCTTCTCCCTTTGGTCATCTTTTGTTACTACCTCCATTCCACCTTATGTATGCTTGTTTCCCACCCCCACCTCATTCACAGGTGACACTAATACTTAAGGTCCTGGGCTGAATTCACCAATGAACTAAATCACCATATGTTCATTTTGTGTAAATTTATGCAGATTTTTGTCAGTGTCATGTTGGCACATATTATCTGACAACCAGACCTCTTTGTGATATTTTCCACAGGGCGATTAAAAACAAACACAAACAAACCCATTGAGTCAACCCAACTCTATGGAACTTTTTCCTATTGAGTGGCAGGTGGGGTTGAACCACTGACATTCTTAGCAGCCCAATACCCGACCGCTACATGGAAATTCACCTTTATCACTGATTGATGTTGTTCGTACAGTTATTAGCCTGCTCCTCTTACTAGCTGTGCACCTTTGTACAGAATGATTTTATCATCCTCTTCTTTAGTTCCTTCATCTGTAAAAAGTGGATAAAAGCCACCTCATGGAATTGATAGAAGTAAAATGAATTAATATGCAAAATGTTTCAGGTTCTGATATATACCGTTTCCCCCAAAATAAGACAGTGTCTTATATTAATTTTTGCTCTCAAAGATGTGCTAGGTCTTATTTTCAGGGGATGTCTTATTTTTCCATGAAGAAGAATACACATTAATTGTTTTATTAAAAGAGACTTCACACTTCCTGTCTGCTCCGGCTGCTCTGTGGCCAACAGTGAGCTGTGCGGTGGCGACCGCCACTGCGGTCCAGAGTTACGGTAGCTTCGGGGGGCCTTACTTTTGGGGGGATGTCTTATATTTCAGCGAGAGGCAAAACTGTAAGTAGGTCTTATTTTCAGGGGATGTCTTACTTTCGGGGAAACAGGGTAGTAAGCACTGTGTAAATGTTTGTTTACCCATTTGCCTAATATTTTTATTGTAAAACTCTTTAACATCATCTTGAAAATCATAATGGGGAAGGACAGAGACAGAGATAAGCAAGTTCAGTTATAGGTTGTAGGGAAGTAAACGAGGATGAGGGAAAAATACTAAATGTAGACTGATTTAAAAATACATGATGCTGAGTGTATACCATTTCATTGTTAAACTTTTCTTAGCTTTACAGTATTATAAATGCTGGTATCAACACATTATTAAAAAAAATTAGAAGTAAGTCAACAGCTAACATCTTGTCTTTGTGAAAATCAGTATCATGGACTATTAAATTCACAACTCAAGCTAGTTATTTAGTTGATAAAAAAGCAGTCAGACTCTCTAGAATGGTGCACATATTTACTTATTTGCTTTAGCAAGATCAAGATTTATTGCCTTTCAAGATAAATTTTGGCTAAATATTGACTTTAGGTTCTCAATCATTATTTACTTGAAAGACTAATAAATCTTGACACTTTTCAACTTGAGTTGGAATCTACTTAAAAAAAACAAAACCACTTATCAAATAGATTCCACTGTGACATTATAGAAGGTTTCCAAGGGAGCAGACAGCCTCATCTTTTCCCCAAAGATTGAATGGTGATTTTCAACTGCCAACCTTGTGATTAGCAGCTCAACATTCATCCAACAGTGCCACCAGAGCTCCTAAAAGCTATTTAAATTAGGAATTGACTTAGTAGTTACTCATTTGTTAAACATCATTGTTAATTACATTAGCAACTTTCCATGAGATTAAACAAACAAGCATTATAGAGTTTAGCAAGAATATGATGTCTTGAAAATTTCAATAAGCAACACTTACCTTTTTTGCAGTTTTTACACTATTCCTTCATTGTTAACATTGCTAAAACAACATAGACCACAAAAGTTAAACTGACTTATCTACTTAAAAATTCAGTGCAAGAACAACAAAACCCCACCTAATAACGTTCAGAGTACTTTAAAAATTTAAACCAATTATATTCCAATTAGAGGGTTGGTTTTTGTTGTTGTTGTTTGTTTGTTAAGATCCTTGGTTTGGTTCCCTTAGTTCTACAAGTTCTTGAGGGATAATAGACGGGAGCCCTGGTGACGGTGACGGTGACCCTCAAGGTCAGCAGTTCACTCATGGGAGAAAAGCTGGGCTGTCTTTCCTGTAGAGCGTTACAGTCTTGGAAACACAGGGGCAGTTCTTTGACATAAACCCTCAAGGTCAGCAGTTCACTCATGGGAGAAAAGCTGGGCTGTCTTTCCTGTGAAGCGTTACAGTCTTGGAAACACAGGGGCAGTTCTACCCTGTCCTAAGGTCACGGTGTGTCAGCATCAACTTGTGGTGGTGGCTTTGGTTCTTTGGTTTTCTGTCTTGAACAATTGGTGTCTGTTGGTCTCATCTGCCTGTAAAGTATCCTGAGCACTCACTGTGGGCCAGGTGCAGCGCTGCTGCTCAGAGGCATTTGCCATATCACTGTTGAGAAGTAAATTCTGCAGTTGAAAATATTCAAGCAGAGTCACTTACTTCTGTTTTATTCTTAAGGACAGAGCTCTCCTAGCAACAGCTTCTGTGCATTCAACAAGTGCCAGTGCGCGTTGTCATAAATATGTCAGCCAAAGTAAAAACCCTTTTCTCCCTTGAGTTACTTGTTCTTTTTTAACCTGTGTCAGCCCTTTGTGCTGCAGAATGTTATGAGCCAAAGTTTTGGCCAACAGTGAGTGACAGCTTCTCATATATAATTTCTCACCGCTATAAAAGCTATTTGTAGATGAAAATAAAGCGAAACTCACCAGAGAGCAATTCTTTCCTGAAGAAGCAAAATGAATTTCAGCATAGCTTTGGAAACAACCAGTCAGTACATTTCAGAATTGTGCTTGCGGGTGTCTATGGTTTTCCGGCAGGAGAGAGAGAAAGCTTTCCGCTCCTATAACCATTGGCAGTTGGAAACTGCTGCTTACTCTACAGCAGCGGTTCTCAGCCTTCCTCATGCCATGACCCTTTACTACAGCACCTCATGTTGAGGTGACCCTCAACCATAACATTATTTTTGTTGCTACTTCATAGCTGTAATTTTGCTACTGTTATGAATTGGTAGGCCTCTGTGAAAGGGTCGGTCAACCCCCAAAGGGGTCGAGACCCACAGGTTGAGAACCACTGCTCTAGAAGGTCCCTGTGAGTCCGATGTGACTCAGTGACAGTGGATTTGGTTTGGGTTTTTGGTGTCCTTTTCTAGCCGTGAATTGTTCATCCCTGAGAAGAGAATTCACTATCAAGGAGCTTAAAACCTGTGGGTAAAGTAATTTTGAAGAGCTACCGTCTCGAGGGAATCCATAAAGTGGACAGAGGGAGTATCAACAACAGCCTGCAGGCCTGTTCATAGTAGTAGCAATTGTCGGTGCCATCTGATGCATTTTTTCCCCTTTGGCTGCTAAAAAGGGAGGCAGGGGGTGCACCCCAGGGTGCTAGCTGAGGAGTTTAATGCAGAAAACAAGGCACCGCAGAGAGGTTGGACGCTTGGGTTGTGCGACTCGGGGCACGTTGGTTGAGAAAGTTCAAGGGCAGAGAGAAGGAAGGAGGACGAGGAGACTGAGTTTAAATGACGTCTCAGGGGGGCCGGGACCCCCTGCATGGGCTCTGGCTTGAGCTTTTCCGCTAGGAAGTCATTCACAAAGGCCTCCACAATGGCGGGTGTGATCTCCTCCACGTCCATCACGTACTTGGCTCAGGCGGATGAGTCCAGGATGGTGAGCAAAGGGGCGGCCTCAGGCAGGTTGGTGTAGTCACGCGGGGAATCAGTCATGTTGTCCTCCCCAGCCACGAAGAACAGAAGCGGTGCCACCTCCTCCTTGGCTTTGTACTTGGCGATGATTTTCTCAGCTGGATTCTCCACATGCAATCTCTCGCTACTCTCACCTACAGATTTTCCCATTGCTGACCAGAGCGCGGAGGGCTGACGCTGGCAGCCGCGAAGTAGAGGGAAGGTGGTTGGCTCCTCCTCAAGGCCCCAGCTCTAATAGCACCACACTGCAGCCTTTGAGCTAATGAAGTACTCTTCTTAGAAGAAAGATGGGGTTTTTGTGGAGAAGTATGCCAAAATCTCTGCCTTGGCCCCCAGCAACAGATTCTTTTGGGTGTCCTTAGTGAAAACCACTTGGGAAATGGACTGTACATGCAGCAAAAGAGGATTTCGTTCAATGGTGACATTTGTTTCCAAAAGTCTATCAGAGGGAAGCTAAGCCCTTCAGAGCGAGTGTTCATTAAACATTTGAAGTGGGCTGGGAAGCAATAAATAAATAATAAAAACATTTTTAAAAGACCAGTGGGTTCTCTTGTGTGATAGTTTTTTGTTCCTATGAGTTGAATACATTCTCGGAAAACTTTCAAAAAGAGACTGAGAGGAATGTGTTTGCTTTGATCCAACATGTGGAGTGCTCCCTACTGCAAATTCCCTTTAATTTAGGAGCACTGTTGAAAAGTCTGCTTGAAAGTACATAAAAATATAATATGTAAATAAGTTCTAATTAGTTATTCCAATTATCTCTCCTGTGCAGCTCTACAATTCTGTCCAAAGTGTAGCCTGTCAGAGTCCAGCTCTGGCTCCCTCCAAAAAATGTTTTTGGCACAGTCATTAATAGGAAAGCCCTCCCTCCCTCGCCCCACCCCTCTTGTTGTTGGAAACCTCACCAGGAGAAAGTGAAATCCCAGATTGTGAATGTTATGGGCAGCTGTTTCAGACCCTTTTAGTCCGTGATTTGCGAGTGTGATATCAAAGAAGGACCCTGCAGTGAATTGAAAGAACAGGTGTCCCTTCTTCCAAAGAGGGCACGGCGGTTTTTAGGAAACGAATCTGCCTGAGACCAGTGTTTAACTGGAAGATTTCACCGCCTTGCTCAGCGGTGTTGAAAGTACAACAATCAGAGCCACTTCTTCACTTGCCTTCAACAGGTTGCCAGCGATCCATAGGCCTTTCCAACGGGAAGGCCAAGGTGTGCACTTACAGTGGGTGGTACTACTGCAGCAGCTGCCACGTGGACGACAGCTTCCTCATCCCGGCACGCATAGTCCACAACTGGGACACCTCAAGATATAAGGTAGGTGGGGACTGAGTGTGTGTAGTAACGGGGACTCAGGCATCCATGTGTCGGCGAATGGATTATAAAGATAGTGATGTTATGCATTTTGAAGCAAATTTGATTAGGTTGTCTCCTAAAGGCTATCAAATCTAATATTTCTCTAATATCACTTCACAGTTAAAAATTTTCTTAAATAGGATCCTTATGAATTTCCTACTTTAAAAAAATATATATATAGCAGGTTTCACCTCTGGGCCTCGATATCATAAACTGTAGGTAATAAGAGAGAACAGGATAGAGAGAGGCTCCTTTTGTTAATTCCCAATGTGGTATCATCTCCAGCATCACAACACTCCAAAAACTCACTGCCATCGAGTCAACGCTGACTCACAGCAACCTTATAGAGCAGAGTAGAACTGCCCTCTGAGTTTCCAAGACTGGAATTGTTTATGGGATAGGCATTGTAGCGGAGTAGGGCTCACCCTCATGTGACAGGCAGCCTTCCAGCAGACCCAGCCTTCTGGAACTAGAACCTGGAGAGCAGCTGTGGAGGCTTCTGGAGGAGGATTTCACTGCCAAGGATCAGTGCCTTCATCCAGACTCTTATTTAGCGAATAAGGGAGCAAATGAGAAGCTTCGGTACATGCTAATAGATCTGCAACGTAACTGCTCCAGCCAAGGAAAACATCGAAGAACTACAAGAACTAGACTGGGTAGCCATGACAACATAAGTCAGGGAGATGAAGCTCTGACACATTCCAACGTAAGAGGGAAGAGAGAAAACTAGGAACCTGCAAAGGAGGCCCAGAAAGAATGTCCACTGTTGTTGTTGTTATTGTGGTTAGGTGCCCCTGAGTCAGTTCCAACTTATAGCAACTCCAGGTACAACCGAATGAAATACTGCCCTGTCCTCTTACCACCCTTACATTGTTGTTCTCCTTGAGCCCAGTATTGCAGCCCTGTGTCACTTTATCGCAAGAGCCATTAAAGTAAAAGGAATTTAGGCTTCCAAGAAGCCATGTGAAGAAAGTTTGTTTGTTTTTTTTCTCCCAAGATAATTTGTGACAGACACTTAGATGTGGACTGAAAATTGGCCAGTAGATTTAATAATATGGAGTCATTCCTTGGCCTTACTGAGAACAGTTGGAATGAAGTAGTGGGGAGCAAACGTCTGGAGAGTAGGTTCAGCATAGAATCACACCTATTGCCCTCAAGAATTGATGCCTTCGAATTATGATATTGCTGGAGAAGATTGAATATACTGTGGTTGGCCATAAGAACAGACAAATATGTCTCGGAAGAAGTACAGACAAAATGCTCCCTAGAACTGAAGATGGTGAGACTGAATAGTCCTCATACCCTGTGGGCATGTTATCAGGAGGGAGCAGGCCCTGGGCAGGGACATAAGGTTTGGTGACGTCGAGGGTCAGGGAGAAAGAGGAAGACCCTCAGCAAGCTGGATTGGCACAGTGACGACAACAGCGGACTAAACATTGATTTTGCGAATGGCACAGAGCCAGATCGTGTTCTGTTGTACGTAGGGGCACGATGAATCAGAGCCAACTGGGGGGCACCTAACAGTGATAACACTGGGCACCTCAGCCTTAGCTTTGAACTCGTGTTCTTCATGGCCTATGGATTGGTGTTAGTTGCTGTTAAGTTGCTTCTGACTAATCGCCACCCTGTGTGTACACAGCAGACCTGCTCGATGGCGTTTTCAAGTCTGTCACTTTTCAGACGCAGACATGTGGCTTCTGAAGCTCTTTTGGGTAGGTTCAACCCACCAACCTTTTGACTGGAAGCCAAGTTGTAACAGTTTATGCCACCCAGTGACTACTATGGATTGAGTAAATTATTGAATAACAGTTTCATACACAGAGTAGAAGCATTTGGCAAATCCAGGACTCTTACCCTCCACTGGAGTAGTACTCTGAACTTAGGATGTTAAAGTTGGGCCTGTGTTTTGCCACATAACAGAGAATTCTCTTTCCTAATATGACTAGATATCTTCCTTTTCCTGGTTTGTATATTTGAAAAATAAATCCTCATCTTAACTAAGTTTCTTATCTTCTCTTCTCAAAAATCCTCATTGCCATCGAGTTGATTCTGACCCCTAGACACCCTATATGGCAAAGTAAAACTGCTCCTGTGAGTTTCCCAGAGTAACCCTTCATGGGAATTGGAAGCCTCCGATTTCTCTCTTAAAGTCAGCAGTTGACTTTGAGGTTAGCAGCCCAATGCATAGCCACTATGCCAGGGCTCCTTACTCTCTCTTAGTCTCAATTGTTTCACCTTTAGAGTGGAGATAACAATAGTACTCACTTCTTAAAGTTGCTGTTTGCTTGAATGAATGCATGATTCATAAAAAGCACCAGTACAATGTCTGGCACATAATAAGCACTCAATTAAGGTCTTGCTATGATTGTGTACAGGATAATTGCAAATGTGTTGGTCTGACATACAGAGTCTTTTGATTTCGGCCTGTCTTTCTAAGTAGCCCTGGGGGAGGGGGGGTGGCTAAGCATTTGGCTGCTAACAAAATGGCTGGTGCTTCCCAGACAACAGCCACTCCTGGGCCAAAGGATGTGACAGTCTGACCTTGGAAACTAGGCAGTCTTATAAGGTTGTTATGAGTTGGCATCAGCTCCGTGGCAATGGAGCAAACAAAGGGCCCTTTCCTCCCTGGCCCCCACCAGTTTTTTTTGCTTCCCTAGGACTGCACTCCTTCCTACTCCCCTGTCATGCCATGTTATTTCACACCTTGGGCCTTCCTCTTGCCCTCACCCAATGTGGCAAATCCTGAAACCCTGCTTAACCCTCATTTCCGCTCCTTTCTTTCCTTCCCCTCCACCAGACAGAATTATCATCCTCTCCTCTGTATCTTGTACTTGGCACTCCAAATGTAGACTATAAATATAGTTGTAATGTGTGTATTAGATAAAAATGTATTTAGAGGGAACGAACACTCATTGAGTTTGGTATCGAATCTGCTGGGAGCAGGGCTTTCGCTGCTAAAGAAGTGTACAGAGAACAAGTAAGTGAGGCTGCCCAGCTCTGTGATCTGGAGTGAGCTCAAGCTGGTAGCACATTCCAGAATACACTCCACTAGTAAAGCTAAACAGAAAATGCGGCACTGAATAAGGACAATATTTTTTTTTAAATCAGGCATGCTTTGTTAAGACATAAAATGGAGAGGGAGGTCCAATGAACTGTTTGCAATGAACTCTAAGAACCACTGAAGCCATCGATTTAGGTATCACCGATGCTTGCAATCTTTCTGTACAGCAGATGTATTGTGATGGTGGCCATTCCAGGAACAAGGTTTAATTTTGAGAAGAGACTTAAATGACTAATGATTTTAGGTGTGCTTAGTTTATCCATGTGGCATAGGAGAAAAATCTCCTTGTCAGACTATCCCTTCTCAAGTTCTCAGTGGACCAGGAATGATTGTAAAGGCAAGACTAGAGCAGGTCGATTTTATCTGCATCATCTCTCGCCAGCATTAAGTAACTCTATTCCATTTAGTCCCTTGTCTGTCTGTCTTTGCTCAGACACCAGGATTTAACTTCGTGCTTCTAATTGTCAGAATCAATTCAGACATCAGTGTTCAAGACCAGACATCTTTTTATTACATCTGCCTGATGACCTTAATAGCTCGCACGTGACTGGCTTGAATATCCATTTAAAAGATGGAAAGATGGTTCTGCAGTGCAGAATGAAATCTGTTCTCTTATCTGCATGCTCAGTAATAATAATCCTAATTATTTTTAAAGCAGCATTTCATCTTTTCCGGTGTCCACCTCACAGATAGTATTGAGCTCCAGGGATTACCCAACGGCTAAACCCTATCCTCAAATTCTATAGTTATTTTCTAATGGCATTCTCCTTGAAGATAACTTTCCCCTTGCCCCTCATTCATGAAAATCAAAATGTAAAAGAGGTGCTGGGGAAGTCAAACTTAGCCTCACCTCTTCCTAAATAGTTCCCTTTGGTTGTGTATTGTGTATGTGGGTTTACTGTCCTAGGCTGAATATTGACATTCCATTTAACTAGGGGTTTCCCATGTTACGTAAACCACTTCCTATCTCCACATCTTGGGAGCCATTCAAGGCAAGCTGTGTTCCCCTTGCATAGCTGGGAACTAGCTAGCAAATGGGGGAAACCACTTGACCAGAGTCATTTGGAGATTTTGAGAACAAATCATAATTAAACTTAAGTTCTCCTGATTCTCTGCCCATTATCCCACAGTGCCTATTTTAACAGGATCAAGAAGTCTTGTGGTCAAGGTCAATGTTATTAAGACTTTGGCCATGATTTTTCACAATAGCAATGAGAAAAAACACTGGAAGTATATAACACTGATGCGTATTTATTTATTTAGTTTGTGGTAGGATTTGGGGGTCCCCCCCTGATTGTTTTAAATCTCTGTTTACATTTAAATCTCAAGTCAAGCAGATTTGACCATAATGATTTAGGTAGACTAAAGCTGTGGATACTTCATTTCCTGATGTGGCATGACCTCAAATGAGAAGAAACAGCTGGAAAGATCAATTAATAATCAGAATGTGAAGTATATGCATTATTATGAATCTCGGAAAATTAGAAGTTGTCAAAGAAGAAATAGAATGTATAAATGTGGATATCCCAGACATTGGTGAGCCCAAGTGGACTGATATTAGTTATTTGAATTGGACAATCATATGGTCTAGTGTTCTGGGAATGCATGAACCATTTCAAAGAACATTTTAAGATCTATCCTAAAGTATAATACTGTCAGTGATAGGATAATAGCCATATACTATTCTATTTTACACACCAAGCACTAAGGCCAAACATGAAAGTATTGAAGATTTTTACTAACTTCTGCAGTCTGAACTTCATCAAACATGCAATCGGTATTCATTGATAATTATTGGTGACTAGAATGTAAAAGTTGGAAACAAAAAAGAGCTATCGTATCATCATGTTGATTCCAACTAATGCGACCCTGTCGGATACAGTAGAACTGCCTGCAGAAG